GGTTTTGAAATATTTGAAACTGATTTGATGAAGAATATCGTTGCGATTAATTCTTAATTTCTTTATATAAAGAAGGCTGTTTACTTATGGCATGCCTTATTGATGGGCGCGTCCTGAATCGACTCTGTCGATTATGGTAAGCACTGTTCAAGAAGTTTTGACGAAGGAACGAAATGATAATTTTGTTTTCTGAATTTCCAAAATTTGAGTTCTATGTGATATTGCTACTGCAATAGCAGTAAGGTGATGTAACCTCCAGTGAACTATTCTTTTTATATTCTATCATTGCCCAAGGTATTTGTATCTAACACTTTGGTACAACGCTGAATTGATCAGGCCAACATGAATCTACAAAAATCTCAGCAGCTCTCACAGAGAAATAGAAAAAATCGAATGAAAATTTAACTCTTTGGAATTATAAATTAGTTTTCAACCAAGATAGCCTCGTAGGATATCACATGGCGCAGCCAGCAGGAATCTCAGCTCAAAAAATCCTACTGATATTAGAACACTAAAAATTTCGGCATCAGCGAGTCTAGAGCCACCGTGGCAATTTAAAGTTTGATTAGTACAATTTCTAATGGCAGTCGCGGTCAAGGAAAATGTCAACCCAGACGTAATGCTTGAAGACCCTAAAGAAATAATGGAAGAACCAGCCCCAAGATCAGAAACACCAAGGGAGGCAAGGGAGGGGGAGGACGCAACTGCAAGAGCAACCAGAGATCTCAGAGACAAATTAGCGAGAGACAGATTGACACTCGAGAACGAAAAGAGAAAAACATGAGGACCAAGGATGGTCACTCATTTTTTTAAAACGAAGTACAAAAGAAGCTGTTATCTAGACTATTCCTCTCTCTGGGAGTGAAAAGGCGTAACATATGAAAGATACAAACTCTTCGCGAGAATGCTTAAAAAAAGAGAGACCGCAAAAGCATTTCACGCGAAACTCTAGAGGATGAAATAGTTCGCAATTTGTTAATATCAAAGATGAAAAACGTGACCCTACAAAATACTCTGACTTTTGAAACACTCGCAACAGATGTAGTACTCAAGAGAGCTATAAAAAATTGAACGTAGCAAGCTGGCAACAATGGAATTTCAAAAAACGAATGCAGCAGCAACTGGGGGTTCATATACAAATTATAATTCGGGAATGAAGATCACGCAAGAGCGAATAATGGGAAAACGATCTTCCAGCTGGAAAAAGAAAACAAAAAACCAAAATAGCAGTAGATCTACAACCTCTGCTGGAATATTGGGAGGCTGGGAGGTGAAAGGAGCCATATTCCTAGAAACGGAACGAAGAACTAGATGCATAATGAGTTTGGACCTCCAAGGACAAGTGGGGATATCAACCATATAGAAATCAGCTTCAGGGGAATTGTCAAGGTTTGGCGTGGCACTGTGCGAGTATTTTGAAAGTGAAAAAAAAATAACAAAATTCAAAAACGTGTTATAAAGGCAGGGAAATTCAAAAAACACATAGTGAGTTCAAAATTTAAACTGTTACTGAAAACACAGAGGACACACTCTACTTCACAGAATTTGAATATGCGTATAGTCATTAAAAACTGGCTGCAGATACAGCCCGCCAAAGGATTTTTAAAATTGTCGGGGAAATCGCTACAGGAAGTTATAAGTTCCTAACATGGTTTAATGAATCGACAGACATGCCGGCCGAGTTCCAAAAAGCCATGGACAGAACGATAAACCATGCAAAAAACACAGTCTGTTTTTTGGCCAAAATCCTCATAGTTTCAGAAGGCAAAGAATCAGAACATGAAAAATTAGTAGAAAAAAGTCTGAAAAACCTGGACGACGAATATTTGGCAATGAAAAAACTTCAAAGTGTGAGTTCTTCAAAAATTAGGTAGATTCGTTAGGCCATCACTTATCGGAGCGAGTGTTACACAAATTTTCACTAAAACGAAAATCATTCAAAACGAAAACCATTAAGATCCTTCCTTGGTAGTATAAATCTTCTGCAAATTTTATTTCAAACGCGGCAAGTCATACAGATAAACATCGATCACTACTAAAAGAATATACTCAAAAGAAAAAACTAGAAAATAAACGTGAAACTACCAGTGAAAAATTTTATTGGAAGAAGAATATACAGACGTGTTCGAGAGTATCGAAAACCCAGTTACCCATACCCCAAAAGTAATTTTTTACGATGCAAATAGAAATACAAGTGTATTATGCGACTCCGGTGTAACCTGATATGGGGGCCACCCTCGAGCAGCAAACAGTTGAGGGGGTGTTGGCTTCAATCTCTTTCGCATCCAAACACCTAAGTATACAAGAATAAAATTACTCTTTAGATGTATTTGAGTTACTCGCGGTTGTTTGGGCAGTTGACAGATACAAAAGTTATCTGCCAGGAAAAAAATTCATAATTGCCACTGGCCATAAAGCCTTAACATCAGTCTTGGATAAGAGCAAATAGAACAAAACGTATCAATCCAGATTTACCCGGTGGGTAGATAGGTCGTAGCCTATTAATTCAAAGTAGTTCAAACTCCAGGAAAGGACATGGAGATCGTCGACTTCTTATCACGAGATAATAAGGATCCAGGGCCCCGAATCTAAATTAGACGAAAAGTTCGTAGAAGCAACAATTATTTCCTTACGCAGGGAAAACTGCATGAGCAGTAGGCTAGAAAACAATTGTCCGCTCAACGAAAATGTTCTAGAACGTTCACGAACAAATTAAACACAAAACTCATCCCTTTTCGGTTGCTATGGCAACCAAAACGGTCAGAATCGAACAAAGTTCGACCGGATCAAAATAAATCAACTTTCGCGACCGTCCAAATAGCGAAACAGCAGATCTCTAACGAAATTAAACCCTTCCTTTCATTTTCAATCCAGTAAACAGTCGATACGAAATACTGCAAAAACAGTCCAGAATTCAACAAATAAAGTTTTGCAAAAATTGAGCGAGAGCAACTACTCAAACAGACCGTATGATTGGTGGTCGGACACATCACAGGAAGTTTGGAGAGGCGAAGACAGTGAGGAGAACTTTTTGCGACCGCGGTGAAATCGATCCCTCAAGTATATATGTCAATGGAGAAATAAGTCACATAGACGTTAGAGAGAACGCAAAAATTCATTAGAGGGAACCGAAGAAAAGAAGACGGCTCGGAGAGTGAGATGCGCCAACAGTCACCAGTAAATGGCAATTGTCGGAGGAACAACAAAACGAAACTGACAGCAGACTCATCTCATTCTGGCAGCTAATCTCGTAGCACACGCAAACTAGAAGCAATGACTGAAAAATTTCCCCGGTTTCAATCAGTATATCACCCAAACAGCCTAAGGAAACTCTTAGTAATGACGTACATGTATTCGAATTGGATCTCATGACCACAAAAATAACGAAGAGAGCAGAAAATTTTCAAAATCGAACCACCACGACGCAGTAGGCACAGTTCTAGAAAAAATAACGAGCTGCCAAAGTAGTCAGGGGAAGATTCACTGGACAACCTTTCGGAACTAATTGACAAAAATCTCCTCGCAGACCTAATATCGGAAGATACCTGGATGGATCGGCTCGGAAGGGTGACCGAAAAAGGGACAAACAAGGTTTCCAACTGATGGGACACTATACAAATACTAGCCGTACCCGTTTAAATGCCGTACTATCTGTACCCGTACAAAATCGCCAGGCAGCACTATAACGAATCCACCGAGGACACTCAGGACAGGAAACGAAGATGGGAGCATCAAGATACCTGTGGGGGCCTCATATGCACCAAGAGACATTGAATCTCACGAAAGAATTCTGTGGTTGCACCAGATATGGTAAGAATGCAAAATATCTAATTCCTTAGAACGCATCGAAGCCACTACCGCCGCTTACGCAGCCGGGTCAGAAACCACAATTAGATTACGTGAGTGTCAAAATTATAACGGAAAAAATTTACTTGCTCGTAGCTATTAACTGAGTATCGAAATTTGTCAAAAAGCGGGCCCTCAGAAGAGACACAAAGCCGATGTACAAAGAACAAAGGTGCCTTAAGGACCTTTCGGAAGCAAAGGCCTGATAGAATGAAGAACACAGAGACGCCGCAAAGAACGACCTACGGCGAATTGTGGATGCAGCCGTTCAGTCCAATCCTGAGCTAAGAAATGGACTGATCTATTCCTGGGAGAGGGCATTCATTGAAGACAAGGCCAAAGAAAGACACGATTCTTCGGAAAGACACGGAGTGACAGATTGATTGAAACGCGACTGGGGCTCATGGAAAGACACCTATTCAGACGCAATTTCGGATACGCCATCCTAGACGAAGGAGTAGAATGGAATCCCAGTAGTAGGATAGAACTGGACAAAGCTTGAAGAAATAACCAACCCAAAAAATTTTGCAATTGCTTTGGAACAACCTATTAAAAATGCGACTAAAAGCTCCATTGTTATTTTAAATTATTGCCACAAAGAAGAAAAAAAAGTTTCATTCGAGGGGGTATGTGATACTGCTACTGCAATAGCAGTAAAGTGATGTAGACTCCAGTGAACTACTCTTTGTATATTCTATCATTGTGCAAGGTCACTGTATCTAAAACGTTCGGTACACCGCTCAGACTAGCACGAATCTACGTAGATCTCAGCAATTCTCACAGAGAAAACTATTAATTCGAGTAACAATTTAATTCTTTTGATTTAAAAATAATCCTACCACAAAGATAGCTTCGTAGGAAAACACATTTTTACAAACATTGGTTGAAAGCCCTTGAAATTTTTTTGAGCAAATTTTCTTTCTCCAGTTCAGTGAAAAAGTTTTAACATAATATTATCGGTTGTGATTGGATTACTAATATTATAGAAAACTAAATCCATTTTCAGTTTGAATTGATATGAACCGAATGAGTTTGTTTATAAACGGGCCTTTATAGTGTTGAATAACTCAAGAAAAAGAAAATAAAATTTCATACATTGACCCCTAAAAAGCTCATAATATTTACCAACGTCATCATAACGTTGGACATCTTAACCGATGGCCCTGACTTTTAGCTTCATTATCAAAACATTAATAACTAACTGTCAAATAATTTAAACCAGAACTAGCATGTATTGTAACTGTACCTTAAGAATGATTTTTTTTCTGGTGTTGTTCGATACGTTAAAACTTGTGCTTACCAAATCTTATAACATTGTCGAATCCGAATCAAATTCGAACGAAACAACTGAAACAAAAGTCAAACTCCAATCATTCCGCAATTTGATCATTAATGGGACACCTAGTCCCAGAAGACTATTCTATGCTAGGGTCAAACTAATCAGGCAACATGGGTTTTGTGGAGCCTCCATTTTGGAGGGCAGCTTTATCTTGACGGCAGCAAGCTGTGTCGCTGCAAAACACCGTAAGTTTCAACACGTCGCGCCAACCGACATAACTAGAGTTATGTTGAATTTATTTCCAAAATTTTTCTTAAAAAGTTGGCTAGTTATTATGACCTTCTTTAAAGTGGGATCAATTATACTGAAAATTGAAGGGAGTTAATTTGCTGTTGACAGAACAAGAGGAATCTCTAACAATTCGAAATAATACAATTTTCAGTTTCTTTGATAACTTTGTTTGAGACCAATTTGGTGTCCCAGAGTTTTTACTCGAATTGTACACTTTGTTAACTTAAGGCATATGATAATCACTGCACTCAAACATTGGTTGTAAGATCTTCAATATGTCTTACTATGTGTATAGTTAACAACGCGTACAAGATCTTGCAAGACTTACAAAAAGTTTTCAAGATTTTATAAAAGACGATGCATGTTTTCTTTCTCAAATAAAACCAGAATTAACTAGTTTCTAACGGCTAGATTTGAGAAACAGAGGAATTGAAGCAAAACAAATTAGAAAAATAGTTTCTATTTGTTGTTCATAAGAAGTTATGAAAAATTAAAGAGCTGTTTATTCGCAAGATTTTGCATTATAACCACAATCTTTCAAGCTCTCGCAAACACTTGCAACGCAACCTTGGTTGAAGGGGGTATCAAGGTAGATAAGCAAATGCTAACTTGAAAATTCAAGACTTTTTTCTCCATTCTGGTTTGTTTTAAACAAAAAAGGAGAACAAAAAATATCAAAACTAGTTTGGTTCAAATTCATATGAGCTGGTTTATTTTAGGACCGGTTTATCTATTCAAATCCTACGTGGACAACTTACCATTTTCCTTCTTAACAATTAAGAAACAGAGTTTTTTTTAGAAAATTTTGTCTCTGGTTTTTGTCTAAGCTTTTTTTTTCCACACTTTTTTTGGAAGTGGGTTGTTCACAAAATTAGAAAAAGAGGGCACCTAATCTCCGCTGTGCTTAGAAACAATGAATACCATGATGGCAGTTTTTTCGATTCGAAAAGAAACACACATTCCCGGGTTGACCGAAATGCTAATCAATTTTTATATATGGAAAATGCTAGTCATACACTTTTTATGCAGTACAAAAAAAAACAGAAAATTGCATAAAAGGTCTATGATTAGTGATTTTTCATATATGGAAATCGTATGACTAGAATTTTTCCATAAACCAAAGTATTGATTGTTTTCATTTTAATTTCTCAAGTATTTTTGGTTGTTTAACCGAACACAAGTTTCAACAACCTTGGTTGCTCAAACGTAGAGTAACCAAAGATTTGACCGTCTGGCATTAACAAGGCATTGCAAGCCGCCTGAAATGTCTTAATTCTGTCCTTCACAAAAAATGTAACGAAACTAGCAAACGTTTAAAATTTTGCAAAAATTTTCAACGATGATTATTTTTAAAGTTTGAATTTTAACTTATCAAACATTGATCAAGGCATGCGTAAACTTGTCATAAACAGAAAATAGGAGATCTTAACGCGAAAAGGAAAAAAAAATACAAAAATAGTGTATCGAGGACTAAGTTATGAACACAAAAAATTAAATGTTGCCTGCAAAAAAAAAAATTTTTTTTTGAAAAATGTTTGTTTGAGTACAAAGTTCAATTCGCGGTTGAAAGAAACACAAAAAGAAATTTGGAGCGTTTTGTCGCCATCAAAAAAAAGCTAGTCGTACAATTTTCAATTATGGAAATTGTATGATTAGCGTTTTTGACAAAAAGTTTTTCTTTTTTATTTGGTACAATACACCGAATTCTAAATTTTAAGCCAAAACAAGAAAAAAGTTTTTCGAGTATTTGATGGCACCATTTCAGCAAAAATGTACGAAATTTGCGTGATTATTATTTTTTTAGACTTAGTTTATGGAATCGTATGATTAGCATTTTTGGTCTTTGGATGTCAATCCGGATTGAGGGGAATTAGAGGAGCCTTGGAATTTTAATCAAACTGACCGAAAGAGCCAATTGTTTGTAAAACAAAAAATTCTGTTCTTTAACGAGATATAAAAATTTAGCAACAAAAATTTCTTTGGTTAAGATAGCGAGTTTTTCTCTACAATTTCGTCTAACCAAAACAGCAACTTGCAACCCGTTCGGTTTTCTTTATCTGATTGGTTTTCGCTCGCATTTGGTTATCAAGTATACAAGCCTAGCTAATCAGATAACTAACAATTATAACTTCTGTGAAAGTTAACTAGTTTTTCCAGTTACACCAAAACTGAAACTAGACTGCTCATATCAGGGCGAAGCCTTGAAAGTTCCGAATGCCTTTTAAGGTCTATGGAGCTGTTACAACATAAAAATAAAGTCATTTTTTTTTTAAATTTGAGATTTTTGTTAAAACCATCCCCACACACGCCATATAAAATCAAAATGATAAATTTTGCTCCTAATAACAAATCAATTATGGCAAATAAGCTTCGTTCAACCAATTTGGAAGAATTTCTAAGACTGATTAACTGTCCGCTTAGTCGTTAATAGCGTGAAATATATCGCTCGTTAATTGTCCCTAATTGGTCAGAATGGCAATATTTAAACCCCAAAAAATTTACAAAAAAATCACAGGTGATATATCTTTTCAAATTTAAGCTCAGGACAACAATACCTTCTGAATGAAATAAAACATCTGCCAAATTTGCTAGTTAAAAAGACGAAATTTGTCTGAAGAAAAAAAAACCACTCCGAGCACAAATTTTCCGTTACTTTCGTTACGAAAATTGGAACAAAATAAAGAGTAAAATTGATTTCATAACAAAATTGCTGTTAATGTGTTCTTCTTCATCTTTTGAAACAAGGAAATTTGAGTAGAATTAAGATCAGCACTAGACTATTTGCTTGGACAAACTCCTCAGTCCGAAAATATACAAGACGAGAAACAGACGGTGACCTGAAAACGAACCTAATCTGAAAGATAACGAACCTAATTTGTAACAAAAAACTACAAGTTATCTCATCTGCTGCATCTATCAAAAGTTCTCGAATCAAATTTAACTAAACACAACCCGTACTCAGGTGCAAGATCTGAAATTCTTTATTTTAATTCTTGATAAGATTTTACATATTTCAGATCTGAAATATGAATCTGAAATAGAAAATGTCACATCTGAAATAACCTTGAACAAGAAAATTTCAGCTCTGAAAACAGATCTGAGAAGTTCTTTGTTAAACTATAATTTATGCATTTCGAGCAAAATATTGAGTTTTTGTTTTTTGATGTTTCTGCAATACACAATTATGTTTAGATTAGCTAGCGGTAAAAAAAACTTCCAAATAATTTCACAAACATTTTTTTTTCAAACTACATTTCTCGCTCAAATGTGTTAAAAAAAATTTCAAAAGTTGTTCGAAGACCTGTTAAATTTTTGATTTTTATGCGCTACTTATGCGTTTAAAAAGTTTACTCATGCTTGGGGAAACATATTTTGACGGTCTCCCAGTGGAGACTTTGCTGAGTACCTGCTAGTAGCTATCAGAAGCTACCAAGCTTAGAAAAAATCAAAATTCGCAAAAATTGTGTCAGAATAATTGATTTTTGAGACCTGAAATAACCAAGAAAAACTAAATTTCAGGTATACAATTAGATCTAAAATAACCAATCCTTAAAGCATCCATGCGCTATTTAAACATTTCACAGCCTATTTCAGATCTGAAATTTAGATCTGAAAAAGATTATTTCAGATCTGTTTTAGAAAATTTACTGGGTACGGGAAACCGTTTCAGATCACATACAATTTTCTAAGGCCTCAAATAATATCATTTTTACTGTTTTACTGTACCAAAAAACAAAACTAAAAAACTAAGCACAGATGCTCACCTTTTACCGTTTTAGTAGAAGAATACTTTGCTCAAAAAAATAACAAAACATACATTTTTTGATTTCCGATAAATTTCATTAGAACACTGAAATGTCACATATGTATTAAAAGCATTCCTTTGAATTGAGTTTGAATTTGTAATACAGACAAGGAAACGTCTTCAAAAAAGTTACTTTTAGCTTTCAGAATTTTTTTTACCCATCTTATTCAAGGCGAGTTTTCACGCACAACACAAGTATTCCAAATTGAATTGAGGCTGGCTAATTGGTCATATTAATTTCTTTGGACTTCAAATTTTACACTTGGATATCGTCCAAAAATTATAGTTTTTCAATGTTTCCTTTTCAAAAAACTATTCGATATGAATTAATGGACAGACGAAACATTCAGGGCTTTGCCCTAATATAGAAGCAGTCTTGTTCACTGTTCTGAGTTTATAACAAAACCATAAGATAAGTCACTACTACGAAAAACGTTCCCAATGGTGTGCTCCCATGATTGGTTTTTTTAACATGCTATAATCACGCATAGAAAACCCTCCATTGTTTTTCACAGGCCAGCCTCACTTTAACCGTGTTCAATAGTTGCTAAAACAAGCGTCTCCCCCCGGGAGGAGGTCCCAGACTCATGCCCAGTTTTTGAGGGTCAAAAGCCTGGACATGAGTCGCGCCAAGGGTCACGCCGCATCCGGATTTAGACCCCAATTGCATAGTAGCGCCGATAGTTTGAGTCTGGAAAGTCTGGACATAAGAAGCATTTTCAAATAATTTTGATACTGATTCTTCTTGAAATAAGTTAATATTCATTAAAGTTAGCTTTAGAGAAGCAAAACATGGCACTTCATATTCGGATTGAAAAAAATTTTCAGAGAAAAACGATGAAAGTAGGTGACGTTTTCGAAATTATTACTTTTTCGTTAAAAATCCACAGGAGAACATATTAACTATTATAGACCTTTAAAACACCATAAAAATATCTATCAAATGAAGAAATAGACAAAAAAAACGTGCTTAATTTTGACAGTTATCCGCTATGTCGTGTTTCCCAAAAACAGCGTTTTGGCGGTACTCGAAAACAACTGCAAAGTTAATTAGTTTCGTAAATTATTTCTATCGTTATACATATAGCTAGATGAACCACACTTGGTGCTTTTTTTGATCTATAAAAGATAATTTAAAAGCTCGTGATTGTTGAGAAATTGAAGAATAAAAAATAAAAAATGCAAAAAAAAGAAAAAAATTACTGGAAAACTAAAAGTTTTTGACTGAATTTGAAGTGTTTTGAGAGAATTTTGATTCAGGGTGAGGATGATAATTGTTTAATCTGTTTTTGAGGAAACAAAACTCGGCAATTCATTTCCGAAAAAAATCATAGAAAAACGATGAAAGCAGGCGATTTGTCGACAATTCAGCCTTGAGTTGCCTATTTTTCTAAAAAACCTCGGATATTACGCAAGCTATGGAAAGTTGCACCGTCTCTGCTTTGGTCTGCGCCGTCTCCATTCTGATTGCTTAAGTCACGCCGCTTCCATTTGCGAAGAATTGTTTCATGACGCGCCGTCTCCAACTCAGTCTGGAAAATCGCGCCGTCTCCGCCTTTGTCTGAAAAATCGCACCATCTCCGCCCTGGTCTGGAAAGTCGCGCCGTTCCCGCCTTGGTCTGGAAAGTTGCGCCGTCTTCATTATGAAAGCAAAATTCGCGCCGCTTCTACCACGGTGGCGAAGAATTGCTTCTTGGTCGCGCCGACTCTGCCTCGGTCTGGAAAGTCGCGTCGCCTCTGCTTCGGTCTGGAAAGTCACTCCGTCTCCATCTCGGTCGCGAAACTGTTGAAATTGCAATTTTTGGTCGCGCTGGCCAGGCTGGTCGCGCCGTTACTTTTTGAGTCGATCTTTTCCTGGGTCGCAGAAGCCCTGAAAAAATTTTTCTTAGTCGCGCCGTCTCCATGTTGGGCTAGAAAGTCGCGCAGTCTCCATCTCGCTCTTGAAAGTCTGAAATGACTGAGCTTGGTCGCGCCGTTTCCTGAGACGCAGGGGCGTGCCGCATCCACCTTAGTCGCCAGTAGTGAGTTTTTCGGTCACAAAAGTCTGGAAAGGTCAAATCTTGGTGACGAAAGTCTGGACATACCAAATACGAGTCGCGATGTTTTGGTCGCGCCATTTCCGCTTCGGTCGCAAAAGTTGCGACGGATCTTCATGTTCGCGAAAATCTGGAAAAGCCAGGTTCTGGTCGAAGACTGGAAATGCCTAATTTTGGTCTGAAAAGTCTGGACATGTCGAAAGTTGGTCGCGAAAGTCTAGTCATGAGTCTGGGACCTCGACCCGGGTAGTAGACTTATCAAATCAACATAAAACACTTACCTATCAAAAAACAAGTTGATTGATTTCTAACAGTGTTGTAAAGTCAGCGAAACGAGGGGGTGGGGGTAAACTAGGACCGTAATTTGGGGTGGTCTCAAAAATTATCCTTGACCCCCCTCCCCCAAAGTCTACCAATAAAAATTCCCCCCATGTTCAACCATAAGGGGGGCGAATGGCGCTTGTGGTAAAATGGTAGTGATGGGGGGTGAAGTAAAGGGTGTAAACTGAGATGAATTGAAGAAGAAGAGACAAAAAATTGAAATTTTAGTCTGAAATGCAACATTTTATGAAACGTACGTAATACGTAGCAACTGCACTAAACAAGAAATGAGATAAATCAGCTAAAAAACTTTTTTATTAATGATTAACCTCTCGAAAAAATCCTATATATTCGATTAAAATTGGTTATATTGGTATTAAAATATTAGGATTATAGTTAATTTTTGATTGATTATAATCGATTATAATGGGTTATATTGACATAACAATATTAGTGTTAATCCATTTTGAAGGACTATAGTCTATTGTTTTGTAATTTTATAGGTACTGATCATATTATGACAATATAATCTATTATGATCCATGGGCACTCGATGCGGGACTGCGAACGCTACTGGAAAAAAAACCTGCAAAACTTTACAAACTTGAGTCTACATAATTGCTAAGTGACGCAAGCCACTTATGACGCATTAGCAGTACCAGTCAATTTGAAAAAAAGAGACTTACCAACGAACGTGCCTCAATTTATAGAGCGGACGAATTTTAACTAGTATACAAAAAAATTCATTAAAAACATCAGACCCTGCACAGGTTCCAACCCTCCTACTTTGTTGTGGGTTGCCTTCCCAATCTCTAAGCTACAGATCCATGATACTTTGAAGATTAAGTGCTTTTTGTAATAATATAGTCTGGTAATACCCTTAGCATTTGATGTACTTAATGGCTGGTTATTGATCAAAATTAACACTCTGTAAATGAACACATTTTATCGCAACATTTGCGCCGCAACAATGTTTGCGACTTAGGTTGGAAAATGAGATAGTTCATACTATAGACAAGCTTTGTGTGTGTAAATATAGAAACCACGCATCAATCCAATTGCATATTTTCATTTTCAAATTAAGTTCAAACTTTCACTCAACCTCGGATAAGTATAACCGATCCGGAGTTTAATTTATGTTTTTGCTTCTCGGTTTTTATCCAATTTACAGTTTTTGACCCTAGGCATTCCATTTTCAAAATTACTCCCCTTCTTTTTTAAAACCTTAGTCAGGGTAATCAATCAGAACATTATTGACTTATAATGAAAAAAAAGAATAAAAATGTATCTTATAACCCATTCGTATTTCCATGACTAATATAGATACAGTTAGGCATGTAAAAAAGAGTAAGATTGAGGTCATTATAAGACTAAGTTGTTTCATTAGCCTTTTCATTAAATATGTTGTTGTTTTAGCGGATGAGATGATTGTTGAAGTTGGAGATTTTTCGAGAATTCGCCGTCATTATTATCCATCAAATAAGATAACGCTCTACCCAGTGAATGCAATCTATCTAGCCCCAGGGTAATATGAAGATAATTGTTGATGTTGAAAAAAATCAAATAGAAATTATTTCGAATCACCTTTTTAATTATATGATTCATAGGAAAATTTCTCGCTTTTTGATTAGACTTTCAAAGGAATGTTGCAATTTTTCGTTATTTTCATCTTTTTAACGAGATCCTATATCCTGGTTTGTAACATCTACTGTTTCAAATTTCAACGGGGATAGCCGGTTAATGTGCAAGTAGCATAGAATGTTCCGACCATAGTCTTAAAAAGATACAACTTCTTATGAATTCTAGTTGTTTTTTTTTCTGCTCGGCGTGATAAAAGGATCTAGACGAAAAACTAGAACTTAAGAATTTTCGATATTCATGTAAAACAAGCAGACTGGAAAACAATTTTTGTTCAAAAATGACTCGAAATCAAAGAACAAATCAAACTTTATACGACTGGAATTATTGAAAATACTATACCAAACTTGATTAATTCCAACGCAGGTTCGAAGAAGGAGTTCGACCGAAGAACGACTTGGCAATTCTTAAACTCAAGTACCACATACCCGGAACTTGGTTTTATGCTCTGCCAATATGCTCTGAAGAAGTTCCAGAAACAGATTATGGGTCAACTTTAGTTGGATCTTGTGGTATGGGTTATGTTAGTACCAGCCGTGATCATACTGCTGTTTCGCACAAACTGAAAGGTAAGTGAGCTTTATTTTATGATTTTCGATAAACACTTGACACCGATAAATACTTGTCAAAAATTGTTTTTTTTTATTTGAAACAACTGAATAACTGGAGATGATGTCGTTAATTACATTGGTCAGTTTTTGAAAGATTCCGAACCACTTACGCCGTTTCAAGGCATCGCAATCAACTGTTGTTGGATAGTTATCACTAAAGATGTCAATTAGATGTCATACGTGGTTGCCAATGTTACCGCTAAAATAAGCTAGGGAAAGCCGATGCACTTGAAACATTATTGGCTGTTATCATTTGTTTCTAAACTTTTTTTTTTCATATATAGCTTTACAGAGCCAATTTTAGCTCCGAAGAAAATTAATTTACATTGGTCATATTAGTAAGCGCGAGTAATCTTCTAACAAATAACGAAACATTTTATTTTAGTTGTTATATAACGTTTTAAATTATTATAAATCTTTTTTTTCCAATCGTCAGAGATATACTTCACCATGACTATCTTCGACTCCTCCGAAGGTCTCTTCTTCTCCCGGTGCAGAGAGGACAACATTTGTACCACGCCCATCCTCGACGGGGGAAACATTTGTATCATGGATGAAGGTATCCACTTATGACCAAAAATTCCACTACCCGAGTCGAAATCCTCCCGCATTTAAGAAAAGTGAAAACAAATCGATTATAGTGGATTTTCGTGGTCTATAATCGTGGTATATAATCGATTCCCATGTTACGTTTAGACAACAAAATTGGACTAAAAATGGAATTGATTCCATTTTTTCTCGCCAAAACAAACATCATTATAATTCATTTTGAATCCATTATAATGGATTTTATAATAAGTACGAAATCACCTTAAAATGGATTTTTTCCACTTTAGTTTTGTTTCGCGATTCGTGCAAAATTTTGAGTTCGTGCAAAACAAGAGTTTCAGCATTTATCAAGTGAGTGATGCGGAAACTTTGCGAAGCGTGTGTACAGCCTAGCCTATTGCATTTCAAAACCTAATCTCAAATTGCAAAAAGATTCCGTTGAGCTCACCCCCCCCCCCATTAGCTCCCCTTCAATCCCCTAACGTTTGCCCCCTCCCCCCACTGAACCTCCCCATCTGAATCCAGCCCCCCCCCCCCACCGGAACCCCCCTCCCCACCTGAACCCACACCCCCGCCTAAACCCATCATCCACTTGAACACGTTAGGTTGGGGGGGGGGTAGGGGGTTTAATCTAGATGGGCAAATGCTAGGGTGGGTAGTGTTGAAAATGCTACGGGGGGTAATGTTGAGTAAAATAAAAAGTAACAAAAATATCAAAGTTAGGTAGAAAAAAATTCAGTTGAACAACAAGTAACCAATGTAACCAACTTTAAATTAAAACGTGGAAAAGATTTTATGTGCGTTGAAATTCGCATCTCATTAAAGTGGAAAATAATTGATAATAATTTAATTTCATTGTCAGTGTCCACAAAAACGAAAAAAAATTTGTTATAATGGATGAAAAAAGGTTATCGCATGGAACTCCAATGCGGGTTGGCTTCGATACCCACGCTATCGCATGATGATTTCCTTACTCCCAGTTTATCGCAACTAATATAGGATGCGTCGACCGAAAAACAAAAAATCCAGTAAACCCGAACTCAGATTAACACAAATATGGGTTTTTTTTTCACGGAAATCAATTCGGCAATTTTTTACCTGGCATTTTACCTGTTTCTTTTTTTACCTGTTTTGAGAACGGTTTTTTGTACCTGTTTTTTCAAAAAGTTGCCTGCGACGCAGAAGTTTTAGCCAGAACAGCGTCTTTTTAGTGCTCTAGAAGAGCTCGGAAATTCAATTTGGTCGACCTAAAAAAAAGGTTGTCAAAAATTTCGTAATTTTTTTGAAAATCCGCCCCCGTCCTCGAGAAAATCCTAGATCCGCCCCTGGACATATCATAAAGTCAACAACTAATAATAACCAATCACAATCGAGAACAAGAAACAAGTTTAAAGTTAAATTAACTAATTACTTCCTGAGTTTGCTTTCTGTTCCTCAAATCTGTTCCTCAATTCTGATTGGTTAATATATTGTTTGTCCACTTTTAGACCGGTATGAAACAAAGGTTGTCTGTTTTTTGACCCCACTGACTTACTTAATATTCGATCCAACAGGTGGTCCCCTCTTCAAATTCCATTGCGACACAATGGAGCCAGAGTGCATTCTGGGAGTGGCCAGCTACTCCATGAGCAAACCCAATACATCTGTTCCCACACAACACCGGGAAATATGCAACGATGGGAGCTACTTTACAAGATTATCCCTATTTCAAGACTGGATTGATAGCGTGCTGCTAAATCGATACTGAGAAAATTTTATTGAAAATAAGTGATTGAAAATTTTTCTTCTCTAATTGATTAAAAAATTTTTTATCGTTGTTATGGACCTGTCAAACCGTTTTTTCGAAAAGAAAACAGAGTGTCATAAATTCGATCACTACTAGCACAAACTTTTGATGCCTAACAGATCTTAAAACATTGATTTGACTTTATTTTTTGGAAAACAGCCCTGGATAAACAGTTTAGTATGATTTAAACGAAAAACAAGGATACCAACTTAAAAAGAAGATCTGTTTGTTTTATAGTTTACATTCTTTTTGTTACAACCTTTTTGTTCAAAATTAATGTCTAACCGAAATGAAATTGCTACAAGAATCCATCGGTTCCTGCAGTGAGGTTCCATGAATAAAAATTGATTAAAATCGATTCTCTTGGTAAAAAGTTTGCCAATCTAATCGATTATGCTTTCACTTTGGGGCTGTCACACAATATATCATAATCCAATATAATAAATTTTCCAAGCAATGATTTAAATCGAATAAAATCCAGTTAAAATCCTTCAAATTGGATCATAATGGATTTGATAAGTTTTCTAATAAGTTTTCAATCTCTAATAAGTTTTCCGAATTTTCAGCAAAGTTGCATTACTCACAGCGTATACGATTTCTAAACCTATTCACATTTGATTAATTAAAAAAAATCAATTTAACATCAAGTTGAACACGCCCAATTCCCTCCCCCTCCCCATTCATACGCACAACTAACCAACCCCCAACAACCTATGCCTACCTACCCTCAACCCCGCCAAAAATCTATCCTACCCACTACACCACCCTCACCTACACTGCCCTCAAACCTACCCCACCCCACCTACACCCTCACCAAACTCCAACCCATCCCAACTACCTATCCCCCACCCAACTATCCTACCCACTACACCAACCTAATCCTACACACACCTAACCACTGTAAAAGTGAAGGTAAGCAGGGGGGAGGGGGTTAAGGGGACACACATACTTTTCACGTAATTTCACGGTAAAAGTAAGTGAGGGGTACGTGATGGCGGCGGAGAGGTTGTGGTAAATGAAGGAGATAAAAAGGTGGAATTAAGTGTGATTCATTTAGGGAGAGGGGGAGACAAAAAGAAAAAAAGATAAAAACAACAAAAATTTTGTGCTTTAGCCAAATTTACAATACAATTTAGCAGCTGCAACGTTCAAGTTTTGAATATTTTCTTTCGACATTTCAACCCAGGCTCGTATTCTTAAAAATCTCATATAATCCGTTATAAGTTAGAATAAGCCTATAAAATCCATTATACTTATTTATATTCGACCATAATAGATTGAATTGATCTCCATTTTATTTGTTTCATAATCGCTTTTTTGGAAAGATTTTGAGACAGACCATGAAAATCCATGATAATTGCGGGTTATTATAATCCATGGGACCTCACTGAGGATTTTTTCTACTTGCACCTGCTTCTGCGTTTCGAAAGCTTAGTAAATCACAGATTCAACCAAACCTTTGAGGCTTTAAAAAGGAAAAAGCGTGTTGTGATTTGTTTTAGTCTCTCGATGAATTTCGGTATTGATCAGATACCAGTCGAATTACGGCATGAATCGACCATTGTTCGATCATTCACAGGTTGTGTTAGTATTAGAGCAGACGTTTTATTTCGCCACCTCTTTTGTTCTTTTATTCTTTTAATTAGTTGTACAAAAATTGTACAAACCTAACTAAATATCTTGAAATTTTTATGGAGCAGTCAAAAGAAGCGAACTTGCGGGTAATTCCTTCGTTCTGGTCAAATCACATCAAGGAACAGCCACATTTCTCGACACAATGGAGCGACCGAATTCATTTGGTGATAATCGCTACAGAGAATATGGACACGATAGTCTTAGCTGACCGAAGATCCCGGAAACTCAGATTCCATTCTTGGAGCAAGCAATAGAAAGTGAGCATGACACAGAAAGAGTCAGTCGAGAGACAAGGAACACGAAAAGAGGTATACGAAGCTGCCAAAGAAAAGAGGATCAATGAGGAGAAGAAAAGGATTAACATATTGAGAAGAGCCGAAGCCGACAAAAAGTAAAGCTTGATTTTAGTCTTAGCAATCGGCAATTTTGGCAGTTTTGGCGGCAGTTGGCAATTTTAGCCGTTTCTTGTAACATCAGAGAGACCGACGAAGCGGAATGGATTAGGCACGTCTTCATCTGCAAAATGAAGAATAGTAAAACCCAACGGAAGCTATTGAAAGCAACCACCAGTCCAACAGAAGCTCCAAGTTAAGCACTCATCCATACTTCAACCACCAAAAGTTGACAAACATGGTAAGATCATTGACCAGTGAGACGACTCTCAACTCTTTCAAAGTAAGTAACCAAATAAAGAAAGACCGAGCCTCAAAAACGACAAAAACGAATTCGTGCAGAAAATGCGAAAAAACTTTACCCATAGGCTTTTTGAACATTTGCCCAGCGAAGGAGATCATTTGTAAGTTTTGTAACTCTAACTGCAAAAAACACTGAAAGCAAACTGTTTTGAGGCTTTGCAGTCTAATTTAAGGCATTGCAGGTTAGCTTAGTTACAGAGGTTGAACTATAACGAAAATTTGACACAACAGGGTTTTCAAAAGTCATTTCGGCAGATAGCGCCTATAACTATGGTTTTTTAGGCAGAGCGCACTTAAAAAAAACTTCATTGTTTTTGCAGAAAGGACAAAAGACGCATTTTAAAAAATGTAAAGTACTGCTAAAATATACGCTAAAAAATACACTAGTATTATCAGCAAAATTTTGAATATGGATAAAAAAATGAAACCTGTGATTTTTTGTCGGCAGAGCGCACTTATAATCAAATAATTTTCGGCAGAGCGCACCGTATAAGTAATGTAATTTCGACAGAGCGCACCTGATTGATATAGAAGTACAACTAGATATACGATTTGATTTGCCGCTTACTCTTTAACAGGGCGATGTTTTAATAGTTTGTTCAAGCGGAAGCGGCAAATCAAAACGTTCCAAAGAGCAAACTTTTGCTTGTACATTATTTGATCACGTCTGATTGTTAAAAACCGATTTAAGATTTTCAGCCCAAACTAAGGCAATTTCACGCGGTGCGGTTTGAACAGTTTTTTTCAGACACTTATGTTCGTAATCTTGCTTCCCAAAAAACGGTTTGAGCTGTTTTTGATCGTTTTTTTAAAGAAGATGAGCGGTTTTTTATTTGATTTTTATGGACGTAATTAACCTTTAAAAAATTTTTTGGACCCCATTTAGCCAAACTTCATTTTTTAGGTTAAGTTTTGCCAGATATTTTGGTAGTCTGTTAGGTGTGGCACTCAGTTTTTTTGAAGAGAAGATTGCGTGTCCCTGCAACAATTCAACCGTTTGGAGATGAAATATCAAAAAAAATGCACAAAAATTGAGTGGTTTAAAACAGTTTCAAAAGATTTGATAGTTTCTTGCACGGATTTGAGCGGTTTTTGAGCGTTTTAAGGTGGTTTGAGCGCAAATTTCTGAAAAGCCGTTCAAAAAGCTCAATTCTTGAGCGGTTATTAAGCGGGATCCCGATTATGGAAGCATCAACTTATCTCGCTAAATAACTAACCACCCCAAGACAAAAAATACTCGGTACTGGAACCTGATCTAAACTACATTTTATGATTGGATAAATTAGATATTTTACCACTGTAAAGTATTTAATATTAACCAATCATGATCCATCTAACTAACAACCCACTTATTTGTAAGTGCTGAAATTACTTGTAATTTCAGCACCAGAGAGATTTGAATTTAACTTAGAAATTAGTTGACTCTCCAAGAGAACTTCAGCAGCCGCAATAAACCAGTATACCCTAGATCTATTGAGCCTAGCAGAGACTAGTTAAACAACCTGAGACTAGATAGTATAAGAGTAAGATTAGGATCGGTATTAGAGTAAGAAGTTGCACGAATCTATCCGGCCGAAAATAAGATAGCGTGACGAGCAGACGGTGTACCCTATCCGAAATTACTCTATGAGTTAACCACCTCGGTCATAACTCATCTGGTGCGACCATAAGTCTCGAACAAGACCTTAATAGCTTAGAATTAACCAAAAATAGATTAGAATTTAGACAAAACATTTTAAAAATGTCATACGACGATAATTTAATCGAAATGTCTCTACGACTCAATAGATCAGAGCCAATATTCCGAACGATAATAGAACTACCCGGAGTTGGAAGAATACCTCGAACCAGAGACGACATACGACAAAGTAGAAACTTACCAAATAGTTATATGATAGTACGGCAAAAGCCAACACAAACTTTTATATTTAGAATTTTATTAGCAATGAATTTAGATTTTCATTTGCAAACATAAAATCTTGAAGCCAATCTTCATGCTCATTACAGGCGCTAAACAAAATATTAATATACAATAACGATTGATAAAAATATCTCAGATCGTTTTCCTAAAATTCTGCAGTATTATATAAAACATGTTTGGAAAATATTTATTAAAAATCAAAATAAAAATTAGTAGCATGACAATAAACTGTTAGTAATCATAAAATCATCAGTTGTCTCAGCTTCATCACCTAAAACATAACAGCAATCATAAGCTCACCAATATCATTCAAACACTAAATCTTTTCTTAAACAAATTTAAACCATTTTAAACTTAAATTCACTTAATTTTAAAATCAGATCATCAAGGCTTATCCTTGGATCTTAATTCATTTTCTATTTAATTAAATTTTAAAACTTGATCATCAAGGCCTCTCCTTGGATCAAAAAGAACAATTTTGTTCTCCCCCACCAACTTAGCCAGTGTCTAACGACCTCAAACGTCGATTCACTATCCAACCCTTTCTCAAAACCCAAGACTAATAGAAATTTTTCAACAAAACTAACCATTCAAATTAGGATAAACAGTGAAGAACTTCGGTTATTCATCCTTCACTTGAACCCTCCTCTTACCAGACCCAGGATAAATCGTAGACTTAGTAAGTTTAAAATAGTATCTAACGAACTACT